GTGGTTGCGACGGTGGTCGCGCTGGTGGTTGCGATGGCGGTTGCGCTGTGCTTGTTTTTGCTGGGGTGTGGTTTTCTTGGTGGTTGTTTTGCTGTTTGTGGTGGTTGTGCTGGAGGATTGCGCTGGTGATTGTTGGGCTGGCGGTTGTGATGACGGGTCGTGTCGGCGGTGACCGCTCGTGCGACCACCAGCGCAACCACACGTTGGAACACCAGCACAAACACCAGGGCAACCACCAGCACAACTGCCCTCGGCACTACCACCAACACAACCACCCGCACAACCACCAGCAACACAGCTTGCACAACCACAGGCACCACAACCAGCACAACCACCAGCAGCAAAACATCGAGCACAACCACCAGCACAACCACCAGCACAACCACCATCACAACCACCAGCACAGCCTCCCGCACACCCACCCGCACAACCCTCAGCACAGCACGCCACCAGCACAACCACCCGCGAAACTACCACCAGCACAACAACCAGCACAACCACCGGCACAATCGCCAGCCCAACAAATACCAGCAAAATCACCAGCAGGACCACCAGCACAACCACCAGCATAACATCCAGCACAACCACCAGCACAACCACCAGCACAACCACCAGCACAACCGCCAGCACAACTACCAGCACAACCACCAGCACAACTACCAGCGCAATCAACCAGTACGGTCACTCGCATAGCCACCACCAGCACAACTACCAGCACAACCACCCGCACAATCGTCAGCGAAACAACCGCAAGCAAAACTTTCCAGCACAACCACCCGCACAACTACCACAAGTACAACCACCACACGCACAACCGCCAGCCCAGCCACTAGCACAACCACCCGCACAACATCAAACACAGCCACCAGCACAACCACCAGCAAAACAGCCAGCACATCCACAACCAGCACGACCACAAGCACAACCACCCGCACAATCACCAGCACAGCCACCCGCACAACCACCCGCGCAACTACCACCAGCACAACTACCCGCAGAGCAGCCAGCACAACCACTCGCACGAATACCAGCACAACCACTCGCACGAATACCGGCACATCCACCAGCACAACCACCAGCACAACCACCAGCACAACCACCAGCACAACCACAAGCGCAACCACCCGCACAACCACCAGCACAACCACCAGCACAACCACCAGGACAACCACCAGCACAACCACCCGCGCAATCACCCGCACAACCACCCGCACGACCGCCCGCACAACCGCCAGCACGCCGACCAACACAACCACCAGCACAACCACCCGCGCAACTACCACCAGCACAACCACCAGCACAACCACCTGCACGAACACCAGCACAAGCACGCGCACGAACGCCAGCACAACCACCCGCGCAACTACCATCAGCACAACCACCCGCAGAGCTACCAGCGCAACCACCTGCACGAACACCAGCACAACCAGCAACACAGCTTCCCGCGCGATCGCCAGCCCAACATCCACCAGCACACCCCTCCAGCACAACCACCAGCAGAACCACCAACCGCACGACCACCCACACGGCCACCCGCACAACCACTTGCTGCGCAACCACCAGCACAACCACCTGTACGATCGCCAGCGTAGCCGCCCGCACGCCGACCTACACAACCACCAGCACAACCACCAGCACAACCATCGCTCCTAAGGATTTAGTCCGGTCTCGAGATTCTCCGGGCGGGGTTGGGATAGGAGTCCTCTTGGTTCCCACGAAGATGTCTCCAGACTTCTCGGACAACTCTTGGAACCTTCGATGGCATCTGGGGTCGTCTTGGCGGTTTTGGATGCCATCTTGGGCAATCATGGCCGTATTGGGACAATTGTTGGGGGATTTGCTTGTTTCCTCGGGTTGCCAGCGCGACTGGCGCCAGCACAACCACCTCGGGTAAGACCACCACCACCACCACCACATCTACCAGCACAATCGCCACCATCACAAACACTGTCAGTGCAACCAGACACCATCCCAACCACCAGCACAACCAAGAGCACGACCTCCGCCAGCACGACTGCCGCCAGTGCCCACCAGCATAACCAGTACCACAACCATAAGCACGACCGCCAGCAGCGCAACCACTGCCAGCACAAGCACCACAAACACAACCACTCGCACAACCACGAACACACCACCAGCACAACCACCACCACGACAAACCGTTCAACCACCAGCACACACGCCAGCACAACAACCATGACAACCCGCACAATCACCACCAGCACGACCACTTGCAGAACCACCCGCACAACCACCAGCACTACAACCAGCAACACAATCGCCAACAACACAATCAACAGCACAACCACCAGCACAACCATCAGCGCAACCTCCAGCACAACCACCAGCACAACCAACCATACGACAGCCATCAGCACAACCACCACCACAACAACCCGCACGATAACCACCAGCTAGCAAGACCACCCGCACAACCACTATCAGCACAACCACCAGCACAACCACCCGTACGACGACCAGCACAACCACTCGCACGACC